AAGCGAGACGATAGCTATCTTCCTAATATTATAAATGCGAAAGTTTAGATGGATGTTTCTAAACTGCTGAATGAAAGAAGAAAAGAAATTTTGTATAGATGTAGAGTCTGGAAGAACACATAGGCTAATCTTTTTTTTTTTAGTTCCACGTGAACAGAATCGCGGGCGAAAGCTAGTTAATTCTATAACTTTAACTTGATGATGTTATAATTTCTGTTTTCTATATCTTAATGGATGTAACTATATTGATTTCAACATGTGACGATATTTTTTTTAATTAAGGTTAGATTCTATTATAAAAATACTCACCTTTACTTCAATAGTATTGATGCCCCATATCAGTGGATTCTCGAATTGATAAGGCATCCCAACTTTTACACATACTATGAACTTTTGATACGGAGAGTGGATCTGTAAAAATGTTACCAATAGAAGAGTCACTTAGTGGACAATTATCCCCAAGTTCAGTATATACTGAAGGATTTGGTAGCCAAAGAAAATAGGGTAGCAATAAGATACAAAAATAATCAGTGTAAAAACAAACGATAAATGATGGTTAAAAAAATTATTTAAATAAACTTAAGATATATCGTTTGTTATTGGTATCTTCAAGTCAGTTATAAAACCAATGCACGGTTCATAATTCGCCAATACAGTACTGGCGCAGTGTGAACGCTTACTGGCGCTAGTAAATCCATACGATCTATGACTGACCGTCACAACTGTACTGGATAGTGTGAACCGACATTAATGTTAAAAAGCAAAACGGATAAGCCAAAAGAGTTCGAATATTTCTTCCAATATGCACAAAGACTAGAGACAAGAGATTTATACTCTTTGATATTTCATCAAAGAGTATATCGAAGAAGAGACAAGAATCAAAGAGTAGTCAAACCACAAAGCCAAAAGAGTTCGTATATTTTATCCAATCTGCACAAAGAGTAGACACAAGAGATTTATACTCTTTGTTATTTCACCAAAGAGTATACAAGAAGAAACAAGAATCAAAGAGTAGTCAAACCTCCAAATAGTAAGTAAACATGCTGGGGTTCATCGTGTCCGGATAGATATCGAACAGTTCGTGGTAGAAGCGGTAGATGTCTGCGCCGCCGTCGCCGCGGTCGTAGCAGCGAATGCCGCCGAGCCACCAGTGGCCGAGCCAGCCCGGCGCGCGCTTCGGCAGCGGGTACGCCGCGCGCGGCACCGGACCGAAACCTGCACCACGCGACACTTACAACTACCTACCACTATTACAATTCGAAATAGTCGTAGTTTGTTTACGGATAGCTACACTGTAGATGACCGTGCGCACAACAAAGGTGATGAAATTCATATGTACAGTCGGGGAAACTAGCGACTACAATCGTTTGAACATTTTGACCATTATAACGTAGCTTAAGTATTATTTAGCGATACCCCCCTTTTAGTTTCTTTTTAATATTAACCCTTCGTTAACACTTACTGCTATCTTATTAGTTATTTGTAGGAAGATTCGGAGTATGTCTCCTTGCAATGAATAAGAAATAATCCTGATGAAGATCACCGCAGTTTCCGCAAATGTATTTAAAATCACGTAAAATACACGAAATATCTAATTATCTTTTAGTTACTTATTGGTATTGGCGCAACGACCCAAAGTGGGTCTTGGATTCCGATACGAGAGAGCACCAGCCTCATCTGTCCTGGATCGTCGCCTGCC